ATGCAGGATTGTTCCTCCCCTTCCACTGATCAGAAACTTTCTGTGGATTCTTACAGCCTGCAAGCATCATGTCTAGAGATTCAGAAAAAGAACCTTGGGACAGCCAGCCTTCATTGAATCTCCATCTCCAAGGTGTTGGATCTTGATTGAGTATAATATTTTGGCTTCCTCTTGGTGTACCTTTTAAGTAGTCATTATATAGGTCAGTATTGTGGTCAGGGCAATAAGATGTGAGATAGTAATGCTGTGGATCAACCTAAAAAGCTAAAACTTTCTATCCAAACACAAGGTCTTGACATACATCCTGCTTCACCCATTGCAAGTGGCTTGAAGCATTAAAATTGAGCTCTTGTGTCAGAACATCTTCTGATTGAATTCAAGCAAGGTTCACCTTAGCCTTCTAAATAGGGTGATGACATCAAGTCATAAGGTGTGGGTAAGAAACTGCAGAGGACAGAGATTGAGTAGTCCTTTCCACACTTTATGAATATTGTTGCAACTTCTAAAATGTTGGTATAAGACATTTAATAAATGTTTCCTTATCTAATGGAAACCAATTGACTCATCCTGTCTCCTTTCAGGATTTTGTAATTTTTCTGCATGGCTTTTGAAAAAATAATAATTTGCCATACTGGGTTTTTAAAAACAATGTGCATTCTCAAGGGTACTCAGACAAGAGATGATTAATAGACAAAATGGCAGTTGATTTACCCATTAACTAACTAAACAATGCACATTAGAATATCTAGGTAATTTGGAAAACCTATCTCAGCCATTGGATTGGAAAACCAGTTGGATTTCTTCCTGTCCGTGAAGTGGGGTATAAAGAGACCGATATACTGAGGTACCAGAATGGTAGTCTGGAAATAGGACCTGCACAAGCAAGCAGAAAACAAAAGACAGTGGAAGCTGAGAAGTAAATAAGTTCCATCCTGGATGGTCTGAAAGATTTCAAAGGGGTTATTTTATTTAAATGTGATTACCCACTACAGTAGGTTAGCTTTGTTCATGTTAAATTTATTATGTCATTGCATGAAGATACATTATGATGGATTATATCCAACCAGGTCTTATCGTCATGGTCATTCTGTTGCTCCAACAATCAACATGCTTGCTTTACTGCAGAATAAACTTGTGCAGTAATTTGAATCAGTAATTTAAATCAGTATTAATTCCATACACCTTCAGAAAGAAAAAAGAATGTATGTGACCAAATTGGAGCTCTGGCTTAAATCGCTAGCAGGTTTTATTGTTATGTAACTCACCTGCAAGTTACATCATTCGTTATAAGTCAGCCCCTATACTCTAACAGCTTGGGGAGCTATTGCTGCCCCTGAACCGATTAGGTATTTGCGCCACATCTGAATTCATAATAATTGGTAGCAAGTATATGGGATGCGTGGGTGACAGTGAGGAGTCGGAAACTTAACAGTCAACAGAACATAAACGTTAATGTCACCCAGGTCAAAGAGTCAGAAATAGTTGGAAATGGACTCTACCATGCATAATGTGGAACTGTAGCTGGATTAAGATGGTTCCAGGAATGAAATATGAGAATGGGTTACTCACAGGTTGCTTTCTATGCAGTGAATGGATTCCTGATGGCTGGGGGGTGGGTAGAGGAAGGGGAAATGGCAGACATGGTGTTTCGCCTGATATTGTGTGAATGGGCATCTACAGTGAACTGTAATGCAAACAATGCACTAATTGAACTAGACTTTCTCTGAGGCTTATTCAGTTGGTTTTGCTGATTAAATTGGATTAAGTTGTGAAGAGGACACAAGGAGGTCACAAAGTTATTAGTTTGTGAGGGGGCAAAGATATAACAAATAGACTATAATGTGAGAAAATGAGAAATTGACCATTTTGCAGAAAGAATTAAAGAAGCATGTTATTGAAATATTGACAGAATGCAGAGCTCTTAGATGCAGGGAATCTGCCTGGTTTCTAGCACGAACTTGAAAAGATTAGTATGTAGTTACAGCAAGTATTTAGGAAACCTAATAGAATGTTTTCATTTGGCAAGAAGAGAAACGAATACAAAAGTCGGGAGTTATATTTCAGTTAAACAGGGCACTGGTGAGACTGCATCTGAAGTTCTGTACGCAGTATTGTTCACCTTATTTAAGGAAGGATGAATTGGAGACAATTCAGAGGAGGCTTATCAGACTAGTACCTCGAATATAGATAACACACTGTGGAGCTGGAGGAACACAGCAGGCCAGGCAGCATCAGAGGAGCAGGAAAGTTGACGTTTCAGGTCAGGACCCGAAGGGTCTTCTGATGCTGCCTGGCCTGCTATGTTCCTCCAGCTCCATACTGTGTTATCCCTGACTCCAGCATCTGCAGTTCTGACTATCCTGAGTGAATTAGTACCTCAAATGGGCGGCTTACCTTATGAGGAAAGGAACAGGAACTAAGCTAGGTTTGTATTCAGTAGTTTAGAAAAGTAACTGGTGACATGATTGAAAGATAGGAGATCCTGAGGGCTTTTGACAGGGCAGATGCAGAGAGGGTGTTTGTGCAAGAATCTAGGTTTTACTGTTTCATTTTCAGGGTTTTCCACTTAATACAGAGATTACGTGAAATCTTTTCTCAGATGTTCATGAGACTTTGAAACACTCTTCCTGAAAAGGTGGTAGATGCAGAATCCTTGAGTATTGTTAAGGCACAGGTAGATACATTCTTGTTAAATAAGAAATTGAAAGGTTACCTGGAGGAGGCAGGAATGTGGATTTGACTGAAACCTCAAATCAGCCATTATCTTATTGAATGGCAGACTACGCTGAAGGGCTGACTGGCATACTTCTGTCCCTGATTGGTCTGATAAAATGTATGCATATTCATCTGCCGTGTTGCATTGTTTGGACTAGTTGAGCATTCAGTCTAAGAACGCTAGACTTCTTTCAACCATATTGTGGACTTGACATCATTTGTAAAATATTTTTCACTCCTTTTCCTTTACATTGTGCACTACATTCCACTAGTTTAAAATCCAATATAAGTTTAGCTGTGAACAGTAATATAACATTTTAAATTCAATTACAATAGATTGAGCAAGCTTTAAAATTGAATGCCTAACCTAATCAAAAATAGTTAAGAGTTTGAGCAGAATTTGAGAAGGGTTTCAAGGAAACCTGATATCTGCTATAAAACTGGTACCAACCTTGCTGACTTAATCTTCAGAAGCCTGGAGTACAGTATCTCTTAATGTTAATAGAATCTTCGCCATCAGAGTTCCCAGCCCAGTAGAGGACATTTAATTGTTACAGTTTCCTAAGAGCTCCTAGATAATCAGAGGCCAGTAGTTCTCTATCACTGGTGGAGCAAACAGCAATCAATGCTGTTGCTGTTGCTGCTGCTGCTGCTGCTGCTAATTCAATTGGGCCTTCACCAAGGTGCATTCTGGGGTCCCTGGAGCAAGGCAAGTGACAACATCATGGGGTTGTGGTTGCTCTCAGCAAGCACTCTCCTTCCCTCTGCAGACCCCCTCTTTCAGTGTCTTGAATTAGGGTTAAATACTAAAATCAAAACAAAGACCTGCTGTGTTTGCGTGTTGGTCTCCCCATGTGGTGTATTCCCAACCTTGCCATTGCTTTTGGTGGGTGAATGAGGCTCTTAGGGCTTCAACAGATGCTTACGCTGGAAGGCTGCCTGCAGATGTCCCCTAAGACTCAATGATATGGAGGTGGGTGCTGTGAAAAAGTTAGTAGCTGACAAGATTAACTGAAATCATGGGATAAACTCCACCCATCAGGTGGAGACCAAGCTAGTGTTTTTCAAGGTATCTAAGTTGTTGTTCTTGTGCTTCGTCTTTGCAGTTGGCTGTCATGTGCACTTATGTATAAAGTTGAGTCTGATGTCTTATAAGAGGCTATCATGTGTCTCAAATGTAATGTAACCAGCTATGTATAAGTACTGTTATACTATATAAGTACCACATAGGTACTATGTAATAAACCTATATTTGTTTGCTAAGACCAAGCCTATCTTATGCCAAAGAGTTTGTGAGGGCATTCCTCCCCACTTTCTTTTGCTTATTCATTCATGGGATGTGGACATCACTGGCTCGGCCAGCATTTATTGGTCTTCCTAATTGCTTGGTGAGTCTGGAGCCACATGTAGACCAGACCAAGTAAGGACAGCAGATTTCATTCCCTAAAAAGCATTAATGAACCAGGTGGTTTTTCCAACAATTGACAGTGGTTTCATGGCCATCATTAGACACTCAGTTACAGATTTCTTTTCCAAATTCCACCATCTGCCATGGCAGAATTTGAACTCAAGTCCCCAGAACATTACATTGGTCTCTCCTAACATCGATAATACCACCTGGCCATCACTTCTCTTATACTTGGTATCAGTGACTTAGCCTAATACCAATAAGAAGGCTTGGTGGCAGTGGTTCTGCCCAAAGAATCTTGAATGGTTGTGTAGGATGTAACCACAAAATTTATCATGCTATTAGAAAAATGGATTTAACCAGAAAAATGTCTCCACTTTGCTCCCTCCTGCTCAACCACACAGCCCCAACTCCCACCTCCAGACGTATCTGCTGAGGTGGTGACACTCACCTTTGCCCTTTGTCAAGCCAGGCTACAGGCTTTAACAACAAGCTGATGAAATTTGTTTTTCAGGATCTGAGATTAGTTATTTTTGCTACTGTGACAGTAGTCCAAGAAATAATTTGCTTAGTTTCTCTGCAAGCAAGCAATTAAAGAATATATATAATTGAAGATTAGGCAATTTCTTTTTACTTTAGCCTTCTGTCTTGCTCAGATTTCTCCTGAGGGTCATAACTATGTATTTGTTGCAAAACAGATGTGTATTTTACAGCCCATGCACTGAAATAAACACTAAAACTTTTAGGAGGAACTAACCTTCCATGTGACTTACCTATTCTATAAATGTGCTTCATGAGAAATACGTTTATGACTTAAAAATAGATTCTATTTAGTATTGTCATTTTCTAACTGGATTTCTTTTTCTTTGCTTTTAAGACATGGTTTTGGGTGACTGGACCTCTCTGTCTTTATTGTGCAGAAAGGCTGTATAGATACATTCGGAGCAACAAACCAGTCACCATTGTGTCTGTGAATTCTCATCCCTGTGATGTAATAGAATTACGAATGCTGAAAGAAAACTTCAGAGCAAGGCCTGGTCAGGTAAGTTCAAATAAAAAGTTAGCTTGCATTGTTATATTCTTGTCATTGTTAGATTGTCAAGGGAAAAATAATAAGCTTGCTGTTGTATGCTTACTGAAATATTAAAGGTCACAATCTCCAATAGCTGTCTATCTCTCTCAAAAGAATACATTGCATTATATCAAATTGTATAGCTATGAGATTATAAGCTCCTTTGGCTGCTTGACTGTCTTTCCTTTCTGTGTGACCAGTTTATCTCACTCTATTTTTAATAAGAGATGTGGGACTTTGTCAGGATGTGACACTCATATACTAAGTAATATAACACTAAATAACTCTAAGGAAAATTTGTGCTTCTCCATATCGCTAAAACATTCACTGTGCAACTCTTCCTCAGGGTTGGATCAAACCTGCTAGGAAAAGCATGGTTGACTATGGCATTTGCACTAGTAAATTACAGTTCATGACTGATGAAGCAAGCATAACATATTGAAGTTTGCTATAAAGATAGATGGAAAACATAAGCTACATTGTGGACCAAATGAAGGAGAAATTTGTTCATATTGTTCTGCTTCTAATGGCATCAAGTCTAAAAAGTACAGCTGGAAGACATGCCATGTGAATAAACTTCTCCTTCAAGGGCCAGCAAACATAAAAATGTAGACACATTAAGTCAGTGGACAAAATCATGGCAGATGAGTCTAATGTAGAGGAATATGTTTACTCATTAACTTAGGAAGGATATGAAAATAGAATGTACTTTAAACAGTGAGAAACTATTATGTTGGTGCTCAGGGAGATTTGGGTTCCCATGTATTAGAATCACAGAAGGTTCTCACACAGCTGAAGAAAGCAATTAGGAAGGCAAATAATATTATGGCCTTTATTGCAAGGAGATTGGAATACAAGGAACTGAAATATAGAGCACTTTGGTGAGATCATACTTGGAGTACAATGTACAGTCTTTGTTGCTGTTCCTTTTGGGGCAGGGATTCGCTAGATCAATTCCTGGGAGCTGTCCTTTTGAGTAACAGACCTATGCTGTCCCAAGTGCAGAAGGATGAGAGATCATTTCATTGAAACATGCAAGATTCTTATTCTTCTGAATGATATTTGAGATGTGAGACAAGATGCTATTGTCAGAGGAGAAAAGCAAGAGCCTGGTAACATGCCTTTAAGGGATAGGAGAGAAAAAGGATATACTTGGATAATGGGTATGTGAATTGATGAGTCCTACATAGAGATCTGATTTGTGGCATTCCTGATTCTCTATATATTCATTATTTGTGAGGTAAGATAGAAATTTTGTGAGACATTTAGGGGAATTTGAGATTTACTAGAAAAAGAAGTGAAGTTGAGTTGTCAAAAATGGGGAAAATGCATGTGAAAGAATTGAGCCTGGATTTTCATCCTAAAGATCGTTAGTAGGAGTTGGAAAATTTCCGAGTTAGGCTCAGCCACCTTGGGAGAAATCGCTAGGGAAGATGGGATCATCATTGTCGTGGGGAAGGTGAGATGGATGGCAGCAGTTAGCCTACCTAAGCTTGAAGAATGTTTGGAGCTAGTGACAGGAGTTGCTGATTACATGTTGGTCTGCAAAAAATGCCTATATCAGTTCTGGGGTCTCCATCTCAGTAAAAGCAGAAAAGCCTTCCAGCCCTCATTCCTCACATTCTCTCAACTCCCTCACAGACTCTCTACACCACCCATGCACCTTCTGTCATCCCTCCACCACCCCAACGGAAACAATACTTATGACCCTTCATGCCCCCATTACAAAATATTTCCCCCTAAACAACTCCCATAGGCCTTCATGTACCTTCCATGCCAATTCTGTTGGTGACCATATAACCATTGTCAGTTGTTGTTAAAACACATCTGGTTCACTAATGTTGTTTAGGGAAGGAAATCTTCCATCCTTACACATTCTGATCTACATCTGACTCCAGATGCACAGATGTGTGGTTGATTTTTAACTGTTCCCTGAAATGACTTAGGGAGACAGGCAGTAGGGATGGGTAACAAATGCTGCCCTTGCAAACAACACCTAAATTACATGTAAGAATTTTAAAAAAGAGCCACTGTACATTAAATAAAAGCCACGTACCTTGTTGTACCATTTTGATGTATAAGAAGAGCTTTTAAAATATAAACCAGTAATTCACAGATAACTGACCTATCCCCTTCATAACTCTCTACCTTTACTGGCTCCATCCCCGCCTCTTCGACCTGTTTGTTTCCTCTCCACCTATCCTCTCCTCTATCCCTCTTCTATCCGCCTCCTACTCTCTCCCTATTTATTTCGGAACCCCCTTCCCCTCCCCCTTTTCTGATGAAGGGTCTAGGCCCGAAACGTCAGCCTCTCTGCTCCTATGATGCTGCTTGGCCTGCTGTGTTCATCCAGCCCTGCAACTTGTTGTCTCGGATTCTCCAGCATCTGCAGTTCCTACTATCTCTAATTCACAGATAACTGTCCACTTTGTTTTAAAACTTAAGCTCCTTTCTGTCACAGGGCAATTGAAGTGTCAATCATCTAGACCCTTCAAAGGTTCAACAGCTGAAACTGCAAATACTTGATATTTATCTAAATAAGGTTAGGAATTTTTGTGAAATTAATTGAATGGTTAATCAAACAGCAGTTCTCGTGTTTCAGCAGACTGATTGATAGATATTTGGACTCTCAGCCAAGAATTGCTAATGAGGCAGGTGGAAGCTCATGCCCTGACCAGCGCACATCCTTGAAAGTCACACCCAAAATCAGAAAGCCCAGAATTGGAGTTTGCAATTCCAGAATCCAGGACACACCATAATGTGTACAAGGCTCCGGAGTCATCCTGACTCTGTTAAAATCTAGGTCATACAGACTACAAATACATGGAAGTCATAGGAGAGAAGTATGGAGTTGAAAGATAAAGCCCGAGATGGAGAAAAAGAATGAAAGTAGTAGAGTGAAGTACTGTTTGGACAAAACTGAAGATCTGTGCTGTACTGTTATGTGTTCTATGTGTATATGCAGAGAAAAAAATTGCAAGACAAAAGCAGCATTCATCTTGAATGTCACAGAAGGTCATTTAGCTAAGGTTAAAGTCATTAGGCTCTTTGATTCCTGATTTACTAAAAAAACAATAGTTTTTAGTACATTGCAAAAGTAAAAATATTACAGCTTTTGTTTCCAAAACTAGAACTATCAGCGCAAAAACATGAAGTGATAGAAATGTACAGTAATAGTAGCATATATAATATGAATCAGATAGGTTAGCTGCAAAGTACTCCATGAAAATTTATTTTGAGCTTAAAGTTATTTAAAAACAAAATGCAAGTACTAAGCTTGATTTTTGTTAGGTAAGATGACTGAAGGTTATGGAATTTAGATGGGAGGATGGAGTCATGTTTCATGTTTGAGAACGGCTTTGAGGGACTGAATGGCCTAATCCTGTACTTGTATTCCTAAAAACCTTTGGATAATGATCTTTGGATTCACTTACAGTTTTTCCTCTCCTCTCTTCCCCTCCGTGTTTCCTTTAGTATATTGTTCTGCACTGTCCGAGTGTATCAACATTTGAGAGCCATCCCTTTACCCTCACAACAGTAAGTACAATTATTTACGTTTTTAAAAGTAAGTCATCAAAGAAGATTTTTATATTTGAAAAGCTAAAGTTTCAAATCGCTGACAGCCCCATCAAATCTTGTATTTTAGAAATTAGGAACTAGAGTATCTTGCTTATGAATTGTATGGCTGTGGTCAAAACTTGGCAGCGGTATTGAGAATGTTCAGAATCAAATCAGTGTATATCTCTCTAAACTGATGTTAGTTCACAGAGTGCTCTGTGACTGAGCTAAAATTATACGAGAAAGTTGCTGATTTGAAACATGTTTGGAGCTTATAAATTTAATCATGCCTCTTTGTTAAATCATGTTTTGATACTATTCACAATGAGGAAATAGGAAAGTTTTTTTTAAATTTTGAAAGCTTTCCAGCAACTAGATTAAATAGTGCTTAGAACCATTCAGCTCAATTTCAAATTGTTCTTTTCATTTCCTAAATTTAAAGTACTGGTGGTTAGACAGGATTATAAATGTTATATTTTAGAAAACGCCTATGCAGTCTACAAAATGTCCACTGAGGAACTCCTGTTGTAACTTTGGTAGCAATCTTGCAAAAAAACGTATGAATGGGAATCTCTGGCACGTAGGCAGTGTTTCTCGTGCAGTAGATGATTGGGAGAAACCCCATGGAAATTTTATCTTGTGTTCCTTAATATCAAGATCTGCATTGGAATGTCTAAAAGTATGTTCATATCTTACTGAAGTGCAGCGCTATTAACCTACCTGATGCTGAATTGATCGTGTTTTAAGAAACGCGTTTTGCCAGTCACAGGATACATGGAGTTAAAGTTGACTGCTGCCTATTGTCACAGGCTGGGTTTAAAAAAAAGACAGATGAGCTGAGGTACAGAACTAAAATACCATGGATACGGGAAATCAGAATTAGAACAGAAAGTATTAAAATACTGAGCAGGTTGGGCAGTATCCGTAGAGAGAATTTAACATTTTGGGTTTCTGCCCTTTTCCAGTTCTGATGAAAGGACACAAACTTGGAATGTTAATGCCAGTAGCTCATGTACAGATTTGCTCACATTTTTTTTTAAAAGGTGTGGTTTGGGAAGGATGTGCTATTCAAGGGTTAAGTACTGCCATTGTTCCAGGATGATTAATTACACAGATATTTTAAGGCATTTTGAACACATCGATAGGTCAAACCATTTTATTCAATTGCAGACATCTTGAGGCTGATCAATTGGCAACTGTATTCACGTAGTTGCTTTGAATCCTATGAACGCCTGACTAATTAAATGTAATAAAAAAAAAACTTTCATATTCTTTGTCTTGGGATATCTTCAAAGGTATTTGAAGGTGTGTCCTTGGGCATAAATTCATGAAGTAGCAATCATTCTGAAAACAGTAAGTCAGACGTTTCTGTTGTTGTAGATAGGCTTGTAGTAAGGTTATGGTCATCCATCATGGGTCAATATTATTGGGAGGGGTTTTATGTAAAGTCCATCTTTGTTTGAATTTTGAGGAGGATACTGAAGTTTGTATCCAGTGTTAGTGTCCTGCAGTTCATCAATCCATTTTAATGAGTAATAAATTTGTCTGGTCATCTTTAACCTGGATCTACAAGTGCTTATTTTTATCCAGCTGAATACAAACACATCACATCCAACCAGGTGACAAGTTTTAGCACCGTGGCATGGTTTTTTTTGTTCAGTTCTTGAATCTTGCATTTACTTTGATGTTGACTAGGTCTTAGGTGTGTCTAACTGCTATATTGTAATAACCTTTACCAGTAAAAGGTCACTTTTGAATAGGTGTTCTTTTATTATAATTTTCTGTACAGTAAATTTCTGAATACCAGATCAAGATGAGTATTGCTTCTCATGGATTTTTTGAAATACAACAATGACAACAAGTTATGTTGATATAGAACCTATAACATAGTAAAACATCCTAAGGTACTTCACAAGGACATTATAAAACAAAATAGGACACCCAGCCACATACTCAGTTAGATGACCAAAAGCTTGGTCAGATGTAAGTTTAAGAAGCATCTTTAAAGACATTGCCTAACCAGATACCAGTGCAAATCAATGAGTGCAGGGCTGATAGGTGAAGGGGACAAGGCACAAGACAAGACACTGGCAGTCGCATTTTGCATAGCCTGAAGTTTAAGGAGATTAAAGTGAGATACTAGTTGCAAGTATTTTGGAATAGACTCATTTAGCAGAATGATGGTCTCAACAGCAAAAGAACTGCGACAAAGGCAAATGGTATGGTGTGGAGATGGAAATAAGTGATCTTGATGAAGAATTTGAAGTTGGAAACCATAGTTCAAATGTAACACCAAGGTTGACAGCAGACTAATTTAATCCCAGAATGTTGCTAGCGAGAAAAGTGGACTCAATAGCCAAACAGTGGAGTTTAGAGTTGGATTGAAAACAACAGCTTCAGTTTTTCCAATATTTAATTGGGAGATTTTTCTGCTCCTTCATTACTGAATGTCAGACAAACAATCTCATAATTCATGCTGGATCTGCTGGGTTTCTGCCTCATTCAGAATGAGGAAAGCCATCTCATTGGAGCGAGGGCAAGTTTTCTGCCTATTCACTTTACAATCTGGCATAATTTTGGATGCCTCTGGACATTGGAATGCTGCATCCTATTCAGTCAGGACAGACATTAATGCCCACTCATATTATTTATGTGGCGTAGCTGTGATGGGGTGTAGCTGTGATCTTATCAAAGCAGTGAATGGAGTTACTGTCTCATTGTTGGAATTGCAATGTCTAAAATTTTAATACTAATTCAACTTTTACCACTAAATGCTTCAATACCCTGTATTCTTAAGTTAGACTTCAAGACATTCATTTTAGTCTGTTGACAAAAGATTCACTGCCTCTCTCAGCACCTCACTTCACCTGGTGAAAGGGCTACACTCTGAAAGCCTGTGATTTCAAATAAATCTGTTGGACTATAACCTTGTGTCGTGTGACTTCTCACTTTGTCTATCCCAGTCCAACACTCGCGCATCTGCATCATATTCAGTACCCGCATTCAGAAGTGCTATATGCATGAAACGGGGATATCCGATTGACATTGCACAAGTTGTAAACAACTATTTGGCAAATGAAGTGAATTCATTGGGTTAACTGTGCCTTATTTAGTAGCACTCTTGCCTCTGAGTCATGAGGTTCTTGGTTGAGGCTCCTCCCCACCCAGATCTTGAATGCAAGCTATCAAAGTTGAAAGTCCAGTGGGGATTGCTGCACTCTTCAAGGTGCTTATTTCACATGAAACTGAGGCTCAATTGGATGTAAAAAATCGCTTGGCACTATTTAGAAGAAAAGCAGATGTCCCTCGTATCCTGGCTAATATTAATCCTTCAATCAACATCACCAGAATGGATTTTCTGGTCCTTATCACAATGCTGCTAGTGAGAGCTTTTTGACTCTAAAGGGCTTTGAGATAACTGGAAGTTGCATAAAGCATTAAGTGCAACTCTGTTTTTCTTTCCATTGGATGTTTTTCTTTAGCCCTGTATTTCGGAATAAGACATTCCAGCAACAATGAAACTGGCAGTTTTTTCCCCCATTTTTGATGCAATGCATCCCTGCATATTTAAAGTGGATGCAATATAATTAAATTTAAAATATCATATTGTAGCCTGCAGTGAATATTTTCTTAACCAATAAGACAGAATAGCATTGTCCCCACTTACAAACTTGGAACATGTTATTGGTTCCTGTAGCAAGAAATGTAATCATACTGCTTAAAGTCTCTGTTTTGTGATTAAGAATCATAGCACAATCACTGTAACTGGGAGATAAGACAAAGAGGAAATGACAAGAGAGTGCATGAAAGAGAATCAATGAAAATGAAATTGGGAATAAAAAGGAGCAAGGAAAACAGAATAAAAGAAAGAGTGATAGAAATGATTGAGAAGCATTTATAAGAAAGATGTGCAGAATTCAATTTGCTTGACGTGGCTGAAGATCCTTGGCTGGGGAACGTACATGACTTTTAAAGGGGAGGCCTGACTGGATTAGTGTCTGTTACTGTTGGTAATGGGCCCTCCCTGGATTTAGCACCTTAGCACCAAAATTCCAGCATGCTGAGAGCCTCCAGCAAGTCATAAGCTGGCAGTGAAACCAGGGTGGCTGCTACACCCAGGGAAAGGCCTGCGATTGGTGATCAAGGACAAACAGGGTTTACATGGTGAATTCATGGATGGTGAATAGAGTGGGTGAGGTTAGAAGAAAGGACAGGCTTGTAGTGACCAGTTCCTTTCACAATGTTAATTTCTTGATCAGGCACTAAATCCCTTTGATATTTTAGCTAAATTATGTGTCTAATTGACAGTCTTCCAAGAGTTAATGAATTTTTCTCATGTACAACTTATCATCTCCACCTTAATTATGGGGGGTTTTCCTGCACTGAGACTCCTATTCTACGACTAATTAGATCCAGAAGCCTTATTTCCTGTCACAGCCTGCATTAAATCCAATCCAATATGGAGTTGGCCAAGGAAGTGTGTAGAATTCAAGCAAATTTGCCAATGAATAATCATGTAGAACCTATTTAATCAACCAGTGTTCTTCCCATCCTGATTCAATATGAAGAAATATGACTTGCATTCATATTCTAATTGACAGACACAACTCAAAAACACTTCACGTTGAACTATTGTGAATGAATTTCCACAGGGCATCTTTATCACATTTCATAAGTTCAGCAGAAGAGTTGTATAAGCCTTCCCAGATGCAGCTGGCAATTTACATGACCAACTGCTTCCACTGAAATGGGAATCTGGGGTCCTTGATGTTTGGAACTCAGTGTGAAGATTAGGCTAGGTAACAACAGGTCTATTCTCTGTGCATTTCTTTTGGATAGCAGGATATCCCTTTGGGAATCTGAACGTACCCTGTAGATATGGGGGATGAGTGTCAAATATTATTTAGGGCTAGGAGTAAGGCACATTTGAAGGTATTTCAGGTGCCCTTTGGGACTGTGAAAAACATTACATGTAAGAT